TTCGGAGGAGCTTCAGAGAGAAACTGACTGACCAAAGCGTTCCGCCACCGAACTGCTCCCTCCTCACGAACAGATCGAGGGATTACCAGCTCCCCATCAACTAGCCAGTGGCGGATCCAGGGGGTGGCCACCCCGGGCCCCGGCCCAGCCCTCCCCTGGATTCGGAGTTAGTATACTGTTTATAAATTTTTCGATTTTAGTTATTCGGCTTAGTGTTATTTTATAATAAGATTGGGTGTAACTAGAAAAATGATTCAGATTAATGTATTCAAATTACTACTATAAATTTAGTCTAGAAATTCTAACTCCAAAGACTATTTTTCTAAAAAAAACAATGAAATCTAAAATTCTAAAAGTCTAAAACGTAAAAGACTATAAGAAATATGAGGTTTATTCTCTTGAAAATTTACTAAAGCAGTTAGTGGATGTAGGTATGGACACAGAATGCACGATTGATTTGTCTAGTGTTGACGCTGCTCGTATCAACAACTACTACAAGGAGAATCTTTTCAACAATGAAACATATGAAAACTGATTTCGCAACAAAATGAACGATGAATTTCTAGCCGATTGCTAAAGTATTTTATTTAAAACAATGTATACTATTGGTATGGATGTGGACTCCATTATTGATGCATTCGCTAAATTAAAATACCGTCGTGTACAATTTATATGGTAAAAAAAACTATAATGTTTTTTAACGGTTCTAATTTTTTAATGAAATGCGGCCCAGTGCTCTTCTGTGTTCTGGATCCGCCGCTGCAACTAGCGCAGGTGCAACATAGCGAAGACGATTCCCATCTCCAACTCCAAAAAGCTGAGCCCAATTCGCGGGCTCCGGCGCGGCCATGCAGCCGAACGAGCACCACCAGCTAGGTCGGAAGGAGAGAGAAGTTTCAAATTTTATATTTGATCAGACATAAATGAAAATATCTAGTAAATCGATGCTAATTAACAAATTGAATATTGTTAATTTTAGAGGGCACGATACCGTTGAGCATCAAAGTTACGGAAGAGATCAAGAGTCAGCAATTTTTTCTTTTATGAATAGGGCATTTTTGTTTTTTTGTTTTTTTTTTTTTTTTGTTCTTTAGACCATCCACAATGATGGAAGGGAAAAAAGGGTGAAAAGGGTGGGAAAAAAGGGTGGAGGAGAAGAATTGGTCACAATGGGTGGGAGGGAAAAAAGGGTAATGGGAAGGGGTTTTTTTCTTCAAAATCTATCTAGAGTTGATATGGTAATTTTATTTTGATAATTTACTTATTATTTTTATACAGGTAGTATTAATTAATTAAGACGAACATTTCGATATATTTTTTTTTTAATTTAGACATAATTTTTTTATCACTAATTAAATATAACGTTATCAATGACGAATCTCAATAATTTGCAGAATACTATTACTCATCACAAGTTTCACAAATGAGTGGTTCCATATAAAAAAATCATTTAAATTCAATCTGATATAAAAATAAACGAATAAAAAAAGGAAAAGAAGGCACCAGCCACGTGGCCCAATCATCTTCTTCCACCAACAACCCACTTTTTCCTCCTTCTTTTGTCTTTTTCAGAAGGTTAAACCCTCTCCCAATAGCCTTCTTTTCCTTTTTAGCCTTTTTATCCTCTCCTATTGTAGGCTTTCCCCTCCTTTTTTTCCTTTTTCCCCTTTTTTTCAATGCCTGCTGTGGGTGGTCTTAGGAGGCTTGGTAGTAGGATAGGGAAAATGCTCTTGTTTATCTTATCCATTACAATGCTTAAAATCACAATTTAGTGCGACAATCATTAAAGCTGGGGACCATTAATGAGATCAAAATGGATATAAATACCCAAGGTTTTGCCATCAAGAGCTTATACCACAGCAAAATCAAATCAGAAGTACAAATTCCCAATTACTGAGTTACGATTCCTTCTTCGTCAGCAAAACAAAAAAACCAGATTTATTGGAGAACAATGGCTAACTCCTCCAAGAAATCTGCCGCCGCCGCCATTAACGTGAAATTGCTTTTCAGTTTACTACTTCTCCTCATTTCCACAGCTGAAAGCATTGACACTCAGAGTAAACCCTAAACTATAATTACATGCGGTAGCGTTATGCTTTTCAGTTTGCTGCTTCTCGAATGAAAAATTGATTATTCGATGCTAATTAACAAATTGAACCTCAATTAGCTTGGTGCGTTGGAGCAGAATGCGGATGTAGATTGACGTGCCAAAAAGGATACGGAGCTCAGCAAGGGGATAACTGCGCCTCGGTTGCAGCTGCGCACCACATCTCTTTGAATTCGTTCAAAGCTATGAACCCAGGCATCAACTGTTACTATTTCTTCGTCGGCCAATGGCTTTGCGACTTTGCGTCAAAGGCACTACTGCAACACTGTGATGATCGACCACAGAGAGAGAGAGAGAGAGAGAGAGAGAGAGAGAGAGAGAGAGAGAGAGAGAGAGAGAAATGGTTTCCAGAATGCTATGTTATTAAAATTTTGTAGCTAGCTAGCTACTGCTCCGGATGGAACTCATGTATACATGCAGTGCAGGGGCATCCATATATTTTGTTTCCTACGGTTGTATGAATCTTTTCCCCAAATTTTATGAAGAAAATCTGGTAATTGCATGACTCTTCATTTTTTATGAAAAAAAGTTTAATGATTAAATGTGAGTGCACTCAAAGGCATAATAGGTGGATTAATAAAACCCCCATATTATCCCCTTAATAAAAAATAAATAAAACCCCATTTTAACCACACTTCTCCTGCAACTTCATTGGCAAAGTAATTGAGTAAAATACACTACAAGAAAAACAAATTTCGACGACCATAAAAAGTGGTAGGAAAAATTAGAAAATGGGTCGCTAAAACTTTCGGCTACCATAAAATCCGGTCACCAGACTAGTCGGGTATAGTGCGTCGGCTTATGTACCGCCGATCACTTCATAGCGCCGATCACTTCATAATGTGGGTTAGCGCATTGTGTTACTTAATTATTCTTTACATGTTACAACTCACACATTATTTATACCACTAATTTTAAATATTTTTCATAATTTTAGAAAGTTTTTCTCTCGTTGTATAATACTTATAAAAATTAATTAAATTTGTCTAAGTGTTGAATTAACTTTATATTCTTTTAGATGATTGAGTTATGGAAATCGTATGACTTGCAAACTTGCCATAAATTAATCATAATTGGTAAAGTACATTAGTTACTAGTTATGGCTAGATCAACATTTCCATCCAATAGTCATCACAACCACAAATTAAAAGGTGTATATGACAAAAATAATTCAGAACTCATATTTAGTTTAAAACAAAACTTAGAATAACTAACTCCACGAACATTCAAGTGATGAAACAAAGTGGTGTTAGATATGTACAACTTCAATACGTTCGCGGCTCGAAACTTAATTCAATTTAAGTTTATAAGTAAACTTAATTGTATATGTGCAGACCAATTCGATTAGCTCCTAAATTAGCCTACTATTAGTCATATACCTCGTGGGTTGGTTAGATTACACACCTTTCAACTTACTGACTTATTATTAGTGATGTAACTCGTAAGTTAGTTATACTACATATCTTACGATTCAATGTGGTTTGCGACTCTTTATATGTGGCTAAATATCTATTGCATATATGACTTGTATTATTGTATATCATATCTTAAATTTATGTATGCTAAACATACATATCACATAAATATCGCAAATCGAATACGAGTTACTTACTAGATAACATTTAGACTTTAGGGTTCAGTATATGAATTATGTTGTTTTATTGAACAATGTTGAAATTTGTTAACGAGTTTCGTTTAAATTAATATTTAACTCACAACAATATCAATGTTTGTTTAAACTAGCACACCGTATGAAATTTTCTAGAAATACCACCACTAAACAAAAAAAATTAAAAATACCACCATTTTCAGAAAAGTCTCATTCATACCACCCTTTCACAAAAATCGCCACATAGGGCAGAAATTTTCCAAAGTAAATCGCCGGCTAAGGCGGCAGTCCTCATGCTCGCCACAAACCGCATGTCCACAAGGTTGTTTGTCGGTCGACCTAACACAGACCACAGGTAGACCCGACGGTTTTACGAACCGGCACCATCCCCGATAGTTTGATTTGCTGACACATAAACCGCTTGGGGGGGGGGGGGGGGGGGGGGGGGGGGAGGGGGTGTGGAAGTTTGTATGTTGTCCCCATCTCCCCGACAGGCGACATGTCTGCATGCAGGGGGTTGCAGATATAGGTGTCAAAACATGACCCGACCCGAGTAACCCGCCCAACCAACCCGATCCGCGACCCGCCCGCAACCCGATTAGACTAAAAGTCAAAGACAGGCAACCCGCCCGACCCGCAACCCGCTTGATCCGCAACCCGCTTAACCCGCAACCCGCTTGACCCGAACCCGATTGACCCGCAACCCGCTTGACCCGCAACCCGCTTGACTCGTAACCCGACTAACCCGAACCCGATTAACCCAACTCGAACCCGCCCGATTGGCACGAATAATACTACAAAATATATTTTTGTGCATAAATATTATATGTAGATAATATATATAAAGTTTATGTGACTTGCCCTATTATTTTTTCATCTTTCCCATCAAGAACAAAGGTTTACTTTGTGTTGACAAATAAAAACTGTCATTTAATTGAATCACATAATAGTCTCACTGTCTCGGTAGATAAGTAGAAATCCTAGAAGGGTTGTCAACATTTTTTACATTTGGTTGATGTATATAAATAATATATATAGAGAACACATACATATGAAAAACATGATTGGCTTAATTAAGCCAATCATATATCAGTACCTAATAATTACAACATTTTTTCTTCCACACATAATATACCTGGTCACATAACATTGTCAAAATATTAACCTAGAATACGAAGATTCATAATAGTACATAAGTCATAACTCATACCCTAGCCCCAATAATAAGAAGATTCATAAAAGTTACGTATAAAATACTTACGGGTATTATACTAACATTCTTCACATATCATACGTTATAATTTATACTTTATACCAACAATTTCATAACACATAACTATATTTCATGGTTTAAGGTTAGTGTATAGGGTATACGGTAGTGGACTCGTGGTTTAGAGTTTGGAGTCATAAGACGTATGTTCTTCTCAATAACCGAATATAAAATTGACTCAACTTACATTCTTCACATAACATACGTTATAGCTTATACTAACAATTTCATAACATATAACTATAGTATAGGGTTAGGGTTTAGGGTTAGGGTCTAGGGTTTATTCATGGTTATGCTTTATGTTGGATATTTTGATTTTTATAGTTTATTAATTAATTTGATTTTAACAATTAGTTTAACTTGTGAATGTACATCTTAAATATATCATATTCAAATGACATTCCGACCAACGAATCGAACAACAAACTAGTTAATCAGTATAAAATTTATCATCTATAATAATAAATATCAAAGAAAGGAAGAACTAGATGTTTATGAAAATATTTTGAATGCAAAATTCAAAACTCCCAAATATTTGCTCAAAAATTCCCTTGCAAACCCATTTTTTTTAAAAAAAATCCCTCCCATAAACCCCCTTCCCCCAATATTTGATCCAAAATTGAAAATTCCTTCCCACCTCCCCCAATATTTGATCCAAAATTGAAATTCCCTCCCATCCCAAAATTGAAAATTCCCTCCCACCTCCCCCAATATTTGATCCCAAAATTGAAATTCCCTCCCATCCCAAAATTGAAAATTCCCTGCCACCTCCCCCAATATTTTAATCAAGTGAGAAGGGAAATCCCTATCTCCACCACTAGACTGTCTCCAGTGGTTCTGTCCCCTCCGCTCCCTTGCCGTCTTCGTCGCCTCTAGGTTAGAAAGGACTGAAGAAATTCGAATCCCTGCTTCCTTTCTTCTGCTCTCGGCATATAGGTTATGTACGTTTGTATTTTATATGCATAATTTCAATATAGTAATTGTGTGGTTTGTATATTGCAAATATTTAAGTAGTTAGTTAATATCATATATGTTATATTCCTTACAAATTATGTGAGATATACTAATTTAATATTATCGATTGAGGATAAGGCTAACTGTATAGGATATATGTTATTCAGTAAGTTATGATTGAAGTCACAATAATTTTACTAAATTTGATAGTTAATCTTTAGGACAATTCGAACAATTTTACAAATAACTCGTTTGGCAATAGTTTACTGAAGTTATTTGGGCAATGAGTTATTTCGAAATAACTCATTTTATCACTATGCTTTTGCCAAATACCACAAACCAAATACCATATTTGCATGGTTATACTAAACAAGATACTTTAATCCAATTACTGCTGAAATAATACTAAAATATCAAATAAACAATTAATGGTGTCTTTTGGTTGCAAATATTGATATCACCATTACTATTAGCTAGTGTACTTTACCAATTATGATTAATTACATAACAAGTTTGCAAGTCATACAAATTTATTTAACATTTTAACTAGTTTTTTTTTAAATTAAGTATATATATACTACGTAGAATAAATTTGTTAAAAAGTTGAGAAAAATATTTTAAATTAGTGTAATAAAATGTGTAAGTTGGTAACGAGTAATGAGTAAGTTTCTCGATGCGCTGGCCCGAACAACCCAAAACCCGATCCTCCCGCAACCCGCCCGACCCAAAACCCGATGAACCCGCAACCCGATTTGTCCGCAACCCGATTCAACCCGAACCCGATGAACCCGCAACCCGAATAACCCGCAACCCGTTTGAACCCGAACCCGATGAACCCGAACCCGATGAACCCGCAACCCGACTAACCCGCAACCCGTTTGAACCCGAACCCGATTGAACCCAGCCCGAACCCGCCCGAACCCGCCCGATTGACACCTATAGTTGCAGACACGTGGTTTTCATGTCAATTGAAAACCTCCACCCTAGCGGTTTTCAATTGACAGTTTTCTTATAAAAGACGGCCCCGGAAACCTCAGCTCTTCATCCCTCTCCTTATTCTTCTTATCAATTATGTGTTGCTTTTTTACTTTTTTTTTTTGCGATTAACGTTCTTCGGAAGTTTGTTTTGTATTACTTTTTTATTGTGATTTGTGATTTTGAAATGCTTATCATTCAAAAAGTATTCTTGTGTTTGTCTTTTACAAATTTTATGGTATTAATTTATTTACGGTTTTATTGCAGACGTCATTCCAAAAGTTCATGCTTGGGTTACGGTGGAGTGGTTATACGGAAGAGACTGGAAAGGAGGTACATTAGGTTGCTGGTTGTTTTCGGAAAGTGAAAGTCGCTACGAGACCGAACCTTGAAGATCTCCATCAAATGTGTATTGTGGTTACTTGCATGGAGGTCACGAGAAGAGTTGATCGTATTGTGTATCGATATCCAAACGGATAAGGCGGGTCGTTGTGGCATGAGGAATTGGTGATAACCACTCAGGAGGAAATTGATGCCATGCTCGAATTTTTGAATGGCAATAATATTTCCAAAGTAGAAATGTTTGTTTACACCTAGGAGGTTGAAGGCAGTGGAGTTCATTCTGGAGATGGCCAAACATCTGGTATCCATGGTGGGGGTGGAGTCTATGAAGATCATCCCTACCAAGGTTGCCTTGATCATCATTCCTACCATGAGTACCCAAAAGGAGGCAGAGATCATCATCAATCCTTCCCATCATATGAAGAAGAAGCCCAACGGTACCTTGACAACCAACAAGAAGGCTACCAGTACCAACCCAAGTACGACTTCCACGCAAGTAGCTAAAGTTATCACAACTACCAGCTGATGAAGGTGTCTTTCATAATCTGGATGAGACGGAAGATGGGCTGTCAGGTCCAGGTAGTGACCTTGAGGATGAATAAGAGGAAGGTGATGTCAGTGCAGACATCTTCGACCCTCTTGAAGGTGTTGGGAATTGTGATAAGAACTCGGGCGGGGATCGTGGTGCACCTCCAAAGGAAGAGGCACTTGTCATTTCAAGGATCGCTTAAGAACTGATTTTCCAAGGAAATGGGATGATCATGATGATCGCTTGAGACCCCATTTCTTTACGCATGCATATCTTTATAATGAGTCTAAGTAAGTGTTACATTGTATTAGCACAAATTATTGAAAATAATCAATACGATTAATCAATAACAAATTTATTTTATAATTCACTAAGTATGTTAACAAAATAAAATATGTACCTCGTGATCGTTCCAAACACCCCTTGAATGATGGTTAGGTTGGTCATACAGAATGCTTGCATCTCTCGGTCCTCGATCAAGATAATATATTTGATTATATATATTCACGTCCTCCCCAACCTGCGATAGCATAACAATAACATAAATTAATTAGTATATAGATTAATTAATTAACAATAATTATAAGAACAAAAAAATAGTAGAATGAGTACGTACTGCTTGATAGTAATCATAATATATAATACCCTCTTCTTGGTACCAACTTTTCATTTTTTTACAGAAGGCAGACAGAAGTTCGACTTCTTTTGAAAGAAAAAACCTAAGAATTGTTTTCTGATGTCAGTTCAGATTTAGCCGTAACAAACATACCACTATTTTTTAGATTTTGGGTGGAGAGGGGGATGTATAGAGAGAAAAACTTTTAGAGAGAGAGAGAGAAAAGGAAGGGTTGGTTTTGGTGTGAAGAATATTGGAAGAGGGGGGATTTATATAGGAGATGGAACGTAGGATGGGGGCGGTTTGGTTATTTTTCACAAAGCAAAACCGCTTGGGGCACACGATTTGTTCTTTTCAGTAAAAAACCGCATGGGGATCGGGCAGATTATGTGAAGGAAACGCAAATCAAGGCAATGGTTACGCGGGCCACTGACATGGCGCACGGTCCGCCGTCATATGCTGGTAGATCCGGTGGTCACCAAAACCGCCACATCCAAGTGCGGTTCTTCCATTGAATAGGTAGGAGTGAATGTTTTTCCTTGTTTTCCTTTGCCTAGCTATGGAATAGCCTACCTATTCACTTGGGTGTCTGTAAACCCTAGCTACAATTATGTGAATGATTGTATGAATTGAATGATTTGTGTGTGGGTGTGCTTTTATGTGAATGTGGAGGTATTATTCAGAAATGATTGTGTTGTGTGAAAGCCCATCAATCTAATTGTCATTCTAACCTAGCTTAGAGAGGGGACCTTCTTAGGGTAAGAGGCTCCATTGGAGATGGGTGTTCTTGGGCATTTCATGCCTCCTAGGCTAGTTTATAGAGGAAACCTCCTTTGTTTCCAAAGAGGCTCTATTAGGGCTAGGTTTCCTTAGGCATTCAATGCCTCCTAAGCTAGTTTAGAGAGAAACCCGAACCCTCCTTAACCTAAGAGGCTCTATTAGAGATGGGTTTCCTTGGGAATTCTCTTCCTCCTATTCTAGGTTAGTTAAAAGGCAAACCTCCTAATTCGTATTGAGCACTTAGGGTTTGGTTGTGGGTGGCCGTCCGAACTCCAATTCAAGGGTGAAATCTAACCATTCCTTAGTTGATAGGTTGAAAGGATCACATTAGTGGCTTGGATCATAACCCATTCCTCAACCTAGAGGCTAAGAGGGTAGCTTTGGCTTCTTGTTAGATTTCCTTGTGGTTTATAACCCCCCAACCACACACGATCTTCGATTCTTCAAGTCGCAATTGTTAGCTAGAGGGAGCCATCTGGGTGAACTCTTCTCTCATTGGGACAACCTTGATTTACTTTACATGCTTGTTTTCATTTGTAGGTTTCTTAGTCTTAAACCTAAAATCGTTTGAAAATTAAATACTTGCCCTATACTGCACCCGACTAGAGTTTAAAAACATGGCCTCTAGACGAGATTAATTCGCGGTGTAGTTTCGTGCGAGTCAATTTTTTGGCGCCGTTGCCGGGAACCATTCGGTCTATTATCCAGAAAAGGTCGTTTAATATTACTCTAGCATTTTCTATCTTGCCTTTTTGTTTGTGTTTTGTCTTTCATGTGTGTTTTGTTTACCACTCTTCGTCTTGAAGGGTGGTTTGTATGTGTTTGATTTTCCTTTTTAGTGTTTTGTGTTTGTAGGTATTGGATTATGGATCCTTATGATTTCACCCCAAGTGTGGGGGTATCCACCACCACCCCAGAGTGGTTACCCGGGAACTTCATGGTACGATCAAAATGGGAGGAGTCAAGGATCCAGATTCTACTACCAACCCCCCTTCCAAGAAGAGCAACCATGCTCATGGGGTTACCAAAAATCTTCCCCGTATCAAGAAGGTTTCCCACCACAAATCGAGGTGAACCAAGTTGGAGTTGGCCATGGAGACTTTCATGGGACAAACCTCAAGGCCATGTGCCACTTAACAACCGGAGCCAAAAAAAAAAATTAGAGCTCATGGTGGAGCGATTTTCCTGGGGCACCAATGAAGGGTGCTCTAGCATGGACCTCCCAAGTGCCAACCATTTCGAGTCAACATTTCTTCGGGAATCGGAGGAGCTCCTTCGACACACAGAGAGGCTAAGAGGGCTTGTAGAGCAAGCATGTGCAAAAATTGCTCACAATCGCCTCCTATCATTGGAAGAAAGGAAGGAAGTCGGAGAGGCGAGCCATGAGAATTTTGGAAGAACAAGCTCTGGCATGGATTTTCAACCCCTCCCTCCTCCCGGTTTGACATTAGAAGAGAAGGTGGCAAAAGCTTGTGCACGCCATCGCCCCTCACATTGGGAAGAGCAATAGGAGGTTGAAGGAGCAATCAATGACAACCATGTGGAGCAAGAGGAACTCAACCCGAAGAGCTCCCGTGGTGAGGATGAACCAGAAGGTTGCATTGATGAATCTCATCACTTTCCCCTTCCCGAGAGAAACTTAAGACCAAGTCACGAGTGTGGAGGAGCAAGAGAATCCCTTTTACGATCTTGCATGTCATCTTGCCTTCCAAACCGTGCTTGAAGACATGAATGAGAAGGTGCGAGAAGAGAGGGAGGAAGAAAGAAGGAAGTTTGTGGAGGAGGAAGTGAGCTTTGAAGAAATGGAAGATCTTGATTGTTCCCAAAAGGAGGAAAGTGAGAAAGAAGGAAGGGAGGTTGAAGATGAAGAAGGAACAAGTGGTGTCCAAGATGAGGATGAGGTCGGGGTGGATGAAGCATCCACGAGTTATAAGTGCTACAAATGATTTCTACCCGACCTTGATGCGCTTTTGGAGAAGGACCCATTTGCGGATCTTTGCCAAACCAAGGCCAAACCATTAGCGATCCCTCTTGGTGTATGTGATGGAATTCAATCAATTATGGACTACATGGTGTGGGGCAAAGTGAAAGAAGAAGAAAATAAGAAGAAGAGATCCCGTGGGTAGAGCCTCAAAGCTGATCAAGTTCACGATCCCTCAATCATGGAATCTTCCAATGCTCGTGACTTGATGTTTCATCTCACCGACGAGAACCTCAACTTCAAGGAGGCTCTTGGATGGACCGAAACTTGAAGAACCACCGTTTAGCTTATGACGTAAAAGTAGCACTTGTTGGGAGGAAACCCAACGTAGGTTTGTGGTTACTTTTATGTTAATTACTATTATTGTGCAATAACCTCGCCTTGCGCAAGCTTGTGTGTTTGTTTTTGTCTCCTTGAAGCTCTCTCCTCTTCATCTCAGATCCATTTTGGTCCCGACTTTCACTCGCCAAACTATGCGGTAACATCGTTCTACCCCTTATTTTACGCCATTGAGGGCAATGTCGAGCTTAAGTGTTGGGGGATAGTCTATCTATTATGCTTGTGCGTGTGATTGATTGCTTGGAGCCTTGATGTTTGCCCAAGCATTGCATGTTCATTGTGGATGGTTCTTGGATGATCTCTTGTTTATTGGCATTGAAATTGTATTATTTACTTGTGATCGAGTACATCCTATTATGATGATTGAGAATTGCATTAGGTTGGTGCGAATGTTTAGTTCTCATGCGTGCTGAGATGAATGGATGTCTTGACTTGATTAATCTTTGATTACAATTGCCATGCATCGAAATTTGTGAAATTGGAATAGATGATTGGGTGATTAGGTAGCCATGTGAGACTTTTTCCGATCGTCTTTTTCTAGTGTGATAGATTCCTCTTACCATGGCGAGTAACATTCACCGTTGTCGTTAGTGAGTATGATGGATGCATAGAATTTGGCCACGCCCAAAAGTTGATTGTCCCGAAATATTTTATCCCTTAGCCAACCCCTTTGAGCCGTGTGACTTCGGGGTCGTTCTCATGTTAGGAGCTTGTTGCTTTTTGAGCTTAATGGTGATTGATAGAACGACCCCCTTCCTTTCTTCGTGTCTAAACAGTTGTGAGTCATCCTTGTGTCTCGCAGTTCTCGCTTTTGAGCTCCATTGAGGTTCTACATAGGTGGATTTTTCACGGTTCTTGCTAGGAATGAAGAGATAGGGTTGGAGGAAGTTCTTAATGGAGAGAATTGTTCGTCAAATGTAAGAATTGGCATGTGGTTAGCTCTCTAGTACCTCCCTCGAAAAAATGAAAGGAAAAAAAAAAGAAAGCAAAGAAAATTAGAAAGAAAGAAAAGAAGTGAAAAATGGGAATAAACGGGGTAAATAAAGTCGACAGTTGCCACAAAGTCTAAGTGTATGCTCTAGAAAGGGTTATCGGCATTCGCACTCAAGCCATTGAAACACCTAATTGCTTGTTGACCTCCTTCACTACGATGCTTGGAATTTTTTATAGCAAGATAGGCCGAGGAAATGTGCTTGAATGTAGTTTGGGATTGGTAACGGTTTGGAGAGGGGAAGTGTGGTTTTTGGCCGATGCTAGTGGTCGTTGCGTGTAAAGAAGGTTCTTAGTCAAAGACGTAGAACCTTCGATTTTAGGGTGAAGATGTAGGGCCTCATGATGTGTTTTCCACAACCCAAAAGGCCTTTTCTCCATGTCCAAGACCCTTGGTGAGTACTCCGATCAAGAATTGTATTGATTTTTGAATAGGGTGAGAACTATTCGTTTGCACGTTCTTAATGCATTCGAATGTCGTTTGTGGTGGGTGTCGGTATTGCTTGTGTCGGTTCATTTGTTGATGCAACCTAAACATTGAGATTCATCCATTGTGTGCCCTTTGATGTGTCCCCAAGTTATTTTTGTTAGGTTGAAAAATTACCTTGTTTGAGATTAGTTTGCTTGGGGACAAGCAAACGTTCAAGTGTGGGGTAGTGACTCGAGTCCAATTGTACACATTTTGCCCCTCATTTCTTAAGAGTTTGGCTTTACATTTCGTCGTACCTTGACATATTTCACGCTAGGTTGTGCTTGTTAGATACATTCAGGTCCTAACACATGTGGAAGTGTCGAGGACGATTTTCGAGACAATTTAAGGTCAAAAGCTGCAAGTCGTCCAGGGACCAGCGGTAGTTCACGGTCAGAGCTGCGAGTTCACGATCGCCAGGACCGTGAACTGTAACCACAACCCGAGAACCAAGGAGCATCCAGAGAGGGTTTTGAAGTTACTAACGACAAGGTTGTTCACGGTAGCTAAGACCGTGAACAGAAGCCATAAACCGTGAACCCCAGGATGCGAAGCGGTGCGTTTTGATCCAGACTCTGTGTTCACGGACGCGTTTTGATGTTCACAGCCGTGAATTGATCAACGTGGCCGTGAATTAGGGTCTAAGACCTTAAACTTATCAACCCGTCCTTGAACTGAGGTCTAAGACCTTGAACAGAGCCTGATCTGGGTATAGAAGGAGGAAGGAGCTGAAGGAGAAAGGGAGCTTCTTCTAGGTTTTTAGTTTTAGAATAAAGGAGGTTTTCTAGTTGAGAGATTAGGGTTTACTCTTCCTAATCTATAGAGAGAAAGTGCAATTCAAAGGAGGAAGAAGGAGATTTGGGCTCATTTCAAGCTAGAGAAGTGAAAGTTTCTCCTTCTCAAGGGAGATTCAAGCAACAAGGAGGAAAGATTTTCATCTCTTCGTGGTTCTTTCTCTCCTTTTCCTTGTTTCCCTATGCTTAGCTATGGAATAGACTACCTATTCACTTGGGTGTTTGTAAACCCTAGCTACAATTATGTGAATGCTTGTATTAATTGAATGATTTGTGTGTGGTTGTGTTTTAATGTTAATGTGGAGGTATTATTCAGAAATGATTGTGTTGTGTGAAAACCTATTAATATAATTGTCATTCTAACCTAGCTTAGAGAGGATACCTCCTTAGGTTAAGAGGCTCCATTGGAGATGGGTGTTATGGGGCATTTCATGCCTTCTAGGCTAGTTTAAAGAAGAAACCTCCTTTCTTTCCAAAGAGGCTCTATTAGGGCTGGATTTCCTTGGGCATTAAATGCCTCCTAAGCTAGTTTAGAAGAACCATCCTTAGACTAAGAGGCTCTATTAGAGATGGGTTTCCTTGCACATTCTATGCCTCCTATTCTAGGTTAGTTAAAGGGCAAACCTCCTAATTCGTATTGAGCACTTAGGGGTTGGTTGTGGGTGGCTGTCCGAACTCCGGTTCGAGTGTAAAGTCTAACCATTCCTTAGTCAATAGGTTGAGAGGGTTACATCACTGGCTTGGATCGTATCCCATTCCTCAACCTAGAGGCTAAGAGGGTAGCTTTGGCTTTTTTGTTAGACTTCCCTGCTGTTTATAACCCCCTAACCACATATGGTCCTTCGATTCTTCAAGTTGCAATTGTTAGCTAGGGGGAGCAACATCTGGGTGAATTCTTCTCTCATTGAGACAACCTCGATTTACTTTACTTGCTTGTTTTCATTTGTAGGTTTCTTAGTTTTAAACCCAAAATCGTTTGCTAGATAACAAACTAAGAGATTGAAGTAGAGGTACATGGACCGACCCGGGTTTGACAATTAAATACTTGCCCTATATTGCACCGACTAAAGTTTAAAAACATGGGCTCTAGTCAGGATTAATTCGCGGTGTAGTTTCGTGAGTCAGTAATTACAACTTCAGTAAATCATACATATTTTACAATGTGAGATTTACCTTTAACAAAAAAATGTTTCCTGAATTTTAAAAGGGAAATCTCAAATCTCCATATCTTTTCATTTGGCTCCAAAATTACCCCAAGAAAGAAAAACATCCCGCCTTTTTTTCACAAATACAGTTTGCCTTCTCTCATTTTTACCACAATTACAGTACATTGAGTACAATGAAACCCCATTTCATTTTGGCCCCAAACGTACCCCATTCCCCTCCTTTTATCCCCCAAACCTTTTGCCTTCTCTCTATTATTTTCCCACATTGATACCGGGAGAAAATCCCCCCACCCACCCCCAACCAGATCTAGAAAATAAAGTCACTGGCTATTTATCCTTTGTGTGTTTTCTTCTTCGAAAAAGATGGAGTGCCAAACCCACCACCATCGCCCACTCCCGCTGCTTCTCCGTCCTTGACGCTTCTTCATCCTTGTCCAAACCTTTCCCACCTCTTTTGTTATGAAAGCCCCGATATCTTCTCCGTTAATCACTCGTTTTGTGAACTCCCAACTCCGTCGCCAACCTTCACTTATCGATTCACCAATCCCTAACCTAATCCGTCAACGAAACCTCAAAGCTTGCAAGTTCAGGAGGTACCATGTCCTTCTCCGTCTTACTTATTTCCTCTATTTGAAATTTAACACATTGGGGATTTTTTAGTTTTGACCGAATTCAACCTTCCTTTCTTCAAAATGTACTTGCTTTTGATTATTTATGGGGGATTTCTCACACCTTTTTGGGAGCTCGATTTGTGCTTCTTTGCTTGATTGGCGGTTGAATACCAAAATTGGGGTTGACTTCAACTAACTGAAATGATCTGTCTCTTTATTGCTTTGCATGTATGAAGCTTTAGCTCTACCGACGATTGAGGAGGACGACCTCCAAAGAGCTCCAATCAAACCTGCTTCATACATCTCCTTTTTGGGCGACGGGATGTGTTTCGATGGCAAAACTCGCGTGTTTAATGCAGTTCTATTTTCAAACTCGCGTGTTTAATGCAGTTCTATTTTCAAGAAAAAAAATAAGAACACGAATAAAATTAACCAAACGATTGTTATTCTGTTCACCACCTCTCCAAACTACGTTCGAGCGAGGGTGTTCGACGAATAACCAGAATCCGAACCACGAGTGTTCTAAATTACGTTACCTCTACTCCTATGGAGGTTCCTTTGGAGAGCTTCGCGACTATGACTATAGGCTACGACTCTGCAAAGGAGTTCTTTGAAAGAGAAGTTCTACGAAATTAGACAGAAAAAGGTATGTCTGCGACGGTACAGTTTGAGATTTAATTTTTTGTCGTCCCTTGCTTCTCTCTCTTCCTGATGTTTATATCCTTCCTCTTTCCGTAGTCGCCGTTAGGGGTGGGCAACGGGCGGATCAGGTGGATTTTTGCTAGAAAACTAATCCATCCACTCCTAAACAGATTGAGAATTTTCAATCCGTCCACCCGCATTTATTATCGGGTTGGGTCGGGCGGATGACGGATGATGCGGTTGGATTGGCAGTTTCACCCACAATATACTAAAAATATACAACATGTGTGGAAAAGATAAGAACAACAACGACTGTAAAAAAAGAAAAGGACATCATCAGTGGTAGCTTGCAGGTTTCAGCATCTAACTACAGATGCAGGTAAAACAGAAACATAGGTTTAGAAAAGAAATAAAAAAAAGCAACTGCATATGTAGAAATGTAAAACCAAGACAACAGCTATAAAACATAAATGCAGCTGTTGAACTGAAAAACACAGCAGCTGTATAAATGCAACACAGATCTGTATAAATGAAAAACACAGCTGCATAAAAATGAAGCAGCTATTAAACAAACACGGATCTGTAAAAATGAAAAAGCAAGACAACAATTGTCAAATGAAAAATGCAGCAGCTGTAGGAAAATAAAAAAAGACAGCAGTTGCAAAAAAGAAAAACGCAGCAGCTATAGGCAAAAGAGACATCAACAACTATTATTAATATCATTTACCAGCAAACAAGAGCTGGTGAAACTAGTACAGCAAGAATCTAAGAAATTAAAAGTATCCCAAAACAAAGAATTCCAAAAACCTGAATAAATCTCAATCCTCATGTCCATACTCAAGAATCTAAAAAACTAAAAGGGAGAATCACACTTTTCAGCCACAAGCAATCCAATTCAGTAGTGATCACCACAACAAATTGAGTCACCTATCAATATTCCTGAAAGAGATGAACAATCAAATTAGAATCAGAGCATAATGGCAACTCTGTACAGACCAATAAAACCATTGAAAATACTTACAAGGTGAAATTTAGCAGGATAGTAAATCATTTTCCAGCACTTGCTTCACCAGGTCCAGGAGCAACAACTTCTAGAGACTCTACATGATTTGATTGCACAACAAACATATTATCATCACAATTCAATTAGTTGACAGCAAAGAACTAAACCGAAAAATAGATTACCTAAATCATCATTCTCAGGTTCTAGAGTTTTCGGTTTTGCTCTTAACCAATCTTCGCAGCATATCAAAGCCTCAACGGTATTGGGACACAATGAACTCCGGTAAGGATCCAAAACAAGACCGCTAGTGCTAAAGGTAGATTCCGAGGCCACTGTTGATATTGGAACAGCCAACACATCTCTCGCCATCTTTGCAATAATTGGATACTTGGTTGAGTGAACCTTCCACCACATAAGAATGTCAAAGTCGTCCGTTTCAGGCTCTGCAACATCTGCTAGGTACCGTTGTGCTACAGATTTCCCTCCAGAAATGATAGGAGATGCAGTTTCCTTTGCAAATTTCAGCCTTAGTGCTTTAGCTGGGTCAACCTTTGCCAAATCTGCAGAAATTGTACGCGCTGAAACAGTTCCAGCATCTTGTGGAGTAGAATCCAAGTTTTCATTCGCATAAAATGCATACAACTCCAAGAACTTGCTCTCCAAATTTTTAGCAAAGGAGGCAGCAACTTTGGCATCATAAATCATCTCCATACAGTACTCCACATATCTTAGCTTATACCGTGGGTCAAGAACTACAGCGATATGCAATAAGGGATTCTAATTATCAACTTGCACCCAATACTTGGAAAATTTTCCTAGCATCCTAAATGCCATTCCACTTAATATGTGATCACTACTCCTGGTCATGTCCAGAATCCCTTGTTGCACAGCCACAAGTTCATGAAAAAAGTAATTGGATGTGACATGTGCAGTACCAGAAAACTTCAATGTGGCATTGTAAAACAACCTTAAAAACTCAACCAAGCACCTGGCATTTTTCCAATCTTCACATGCTGGAGGACCCATCAATTTTTGTCTCTTCCTTCCTCTTCCTCTTGTGGTAGCAAATACCTCATTCTGCTTGCTAATGATATCAGGTTGCTCTACTGATTCTTCATCAGCACCACAAAAATATAAAGAGTAGCGAGAATCTTCACACTCCAACTTATCAAAAGCCTTTTCATACTTTTCAGCCACAACCAACATTTGATAAGTCGAGTTCCACCTAGTTTCAACATCCAAGCATACACGATTTCTGGAATTGATCTTTTCCTCATCAACACACTTCAAAAAGCTTTGCATTCTAGCAGGAGAGCTCCTAACATATCTAACAGCATTTCTAATCTTGATAATAGCATCATCCACCTCTTTCAAACCTTCTTGAACAACCAAATTAAGAATGTGTGCACAGCATCTCATATGAATGTACTCATGATGCAAGACCGTTCCTACTATGTCTTTTGTTCTTCGAACTATATGCTTAATGGCACCATCATTGGTACTAGCATTATCTACAGTCACAGTAAAGATTTTCTCTATTTCCCAATCTTTCAAACAATTCTTGATAGCTAAACCGATTGTCTCCCCCTTATGATTAGCTATCGTTGGAAAATTGATAACCCTCTTATGCAACTTCCATTGATCATCAATCCAATGTGATGTCAAACACATGTAATTGAGATTTTGCACTGATGTCCATGTATCAGTGGTAAGACAAACACGTTGAGAATGCAACACAGACTTCAATTTTGCCTTTTCTTCTTCATATAGCTTAAAGAAATCTCTTTGCACAGTTCTTCTAGAAGGCAAAATGAATTTAGGCTGCAAAGTAGTGCTATATTTTCGAAAACCTTCACCATCTAATGTTCGAAAAGGCATTTCATCAATCACAATCATCCTACCTAGTGCTTTCCTAGCTTCAGAAGTATTAAAGGATGCTAGCCGAATTCCATCACCCACAGTTTGCTGAGATTTGTCAATGACAATCATACTTTGCTTCTGGTTTTTAGCATTCAGTAGCTTCACATATTCTTTGCACTTTTCAATTCAATGTGATTCAAAAGATTGCTGGTTCCATGTGCCCTAGAGCCAGCCAAGTACTTCTTTTTGCAGTAATTACATGCAGCCTTAGGTTTATCAGTTCCAATTGTCTCAGGCACCATAGTAAAGTGATCCCATGCTTTAGAAGTTTTTTTGGAATCCTGAGGTTTACCTTTTTCCGCAGCATTGTCTACTTCAGGAGGCTGTAGTAGAAACGCTTGTATTTAGCGAAGCTGCTAGCGGCAATGCGAGTTCAAGATGGGATGACAATCAATGCCGTGAGCTCAACGATACCGCAGTGGCGAGTAAATCAAAAGAGGCGACATTGTTTAGCTGAAAACAACGTCGTGAGTTCTACAACATTTATGAGTTTGTTGCAACCAACAATGCCACGAGTTCAAGTTCAATGGTGTCATGAGACTTGACAAATTTGTGATCTCAAAGAGGCCTCAAGAGCGGGTTCCAATAGTATTGTCGCGGAGATCTATGAATCTGGTCCAGAAATCAATGACATCGTGAGAGGCAAACAACATCGAGTGTTCCACAACGACGTGAGGTTAGTAATTATTTTAGTTCGACAGCGCAACGAGTTTGACAATGTCGTAGAGCCGACAACAACATTGTTTTGTTCTATAAGAAATAATGTTGTCCTAGTGATTTGTGGTGTTGATTTAACTAATCCCCAATGGAGAACAATATTGCCATAGGGCCACCAAGAGCGTTTGGCCTATTAAAGTTTCACTAATTAGCTAAGCTGGCGATGGGTTAACGTGGATGGTGACCCTAACCACATGGAACCCAAGACAGCGGAGTTGTGTGCCACAACAATGACACTAGGAAAAAGGGATGCTCACATACTTGCGTTGTGGAGGTGAAACAACATTGTTATTTATTTGACGGACAATGTTGTTTTGAGTACCGAACCGTGGTGGAGAGAAATGAATTTTGGCTTAATGTTGTCTGGCCAAGTTCACATGTGACCAAGCAGTTTCGCACTCATGGGAGTTATTAATCTTCTATGCCGCAACATTGCTTTTAACTAAACAACATCGCTTTCTAGTGTCGTGGTGTCGTCGAGCTCATTAGCAACTCCGCGCAACTTTTAACACCACTGGTCTTAGTTGGCTCACACGTATTGCCCCTAACTCAAACGATGTTGCTCCCTTCCAAATCGTTTTCTAATGTCGCGTATTCGTTGGGCCTACTCGGCGTTGCTTTCTTCACCTAACAATGTAGTTTATTTTTTTTACTCTACGGCTGCTGTTTTAAATAAAATACATGACCTCTTGGAAAACATGACCGACTTCGAATTCGCGATGTTGCTTTGGAATAACAACGGTGTTGAAATTAGCGGGCTGCCCTTTCCAAGCTCTTACCCACTGCGATATCGTTTTTAATCTAATGATATGGTTTACGATACCGCGGTGTCGTTGATACCTCCCGCGGCATCGTTTTTATCTAAACGACACCGTCCAAAATAAATATTGAAAATATTAATCAATTAATCTGGACATTCAGTAATCGCGACATTGTTTTAATATTAAACGACTCCACTTCCAGTCTCGTGGTGTCGTTGGCTCACTCGAGCTTTGCAGCCTCGTATGTCATGTTAGGCTCGACGTTGTTCTCCACCAAACGACACCGTCTTCTACCAACACGACATCGTTTATGCTGCAATCTCTCACGATATTGTTTGTACTAAACAATGTCGTTCTTAGTACAACGGTACCGTTGGGGTTTGACTTCTCGCGGCATACATTTCTACTCCTTCAAGGCCGGACCTTCTCATTCTCTGATAAGGAACAAAAAGCATTCCTTTTCTAACTCCACCACCAACACTGCAAAGCCAACATTGTTTTCTACTAAGCAATGTCATTTCAAGTACCGCGACATTGTTGGACTTACTCGCAGTGTCGTTTTCAACTAAACGACACCGTCCAAAATAATTATTAAAAATATTAATTAATTAAACCGACCATTCTGAACACTTGGCCATCGTGACATTGTTTTCAGTAAAACACTGTCACTCTTGGTTCTGTGACCAAGACTCACCTCGTTTTCCAGTATCACGGTGTTGTTGGGATATCGACGACGTCGTTGACATCCGCGACACGGGTAAGTCCATCCGCGGCATTGCTTATCACTGAACGGTGTCGTTTCTCTCCTCTTCTGATAAGGAATAAAAGAGCACTCCTTTTCCAACAGCAACACCAGTATTATAAGGCCGAGTGAATTCGTG